CAAATTTTGGGTTACTAGCAGGTGCCACACAACGTTGTTTCAGTCAATGACAGACCAGACATATGATGGCGATCCCATAAGATCAGTACCGTATATCCTAGGTGTGTAGTAGGCTATACAGTCTAGATTTGTGTAAGTACACTATATTTTGTTCTCACAATGATGAAATTGACTAATGATCCATTTCTCATAATGTATCCCCATCATTAAGCAATACATGACTGAATATGCTTGACATTTTGGCTGATACATTGTAGAGACTGAATTATGTTTTCTTTCTTTGAGAGGGTTGAGAAGCTCAATAATTTTTATTATTGAATTGGCTAGAACCTCCCAATGTTGACTAGAACTCATGAAGTGGACATTCTTGACCTGTTATTGACCTTAAAATGAAAGAAGTCAGTATTTCACTATTGAGTATGATGTTAGCTGTAAGTGTTTCATAGACATCCTTTATCAGACTTAGGATGTTCCTTTCTATTCCTATTTGCAGAGGGTTTTTATCATTAGTAAGTATTGCCTTTTCTCAAATACTCTTTCTGCACCTATTGAGATGATTATATGGCTGTATTCTTTTATTGTATTAACGTGGTGAATAATATTGATTGATATTGCAAATGTTAATCCATATTTGTTCCTCTTTTCCTACCATCTCTTAGATTATTTGAGTTTTTAAAAACTATTCCATTTAAGGCCTTTTAATGGGATTTTAGCTATAATTATACTACTTTTATTGTATTATTTATTTTTTATATTATTATATTATGTTTTATAGTGCTGTCATTTTATATATTTTAATTCTACATATATTATATATCCACCATAAATTGTTTATTGCTTTAAGTAGTCAAAGTAATTGGACTTCTCAAGAAATTTAAAAAATAGTCTTTCATGTGCATCCGCATATTTACCATTACTAGCTAGTATTCTGCATTTCTCCCTGCAGATCTGAGCTTTTATCTGGAACCATGTACTCTTCCTCTACCTCATTTTTTTGTCATGTAGGCTTATTGGTGACAAATTACTTCACTTTTTGTTTGCCTGAAATTTTCTTTCTTTGTTTTTTTTGAAGGGTAATTTTACAAGATACAGAATACTAGATTAATAGTTTTTTCTTTCAGTATTTTAAAGATGTCATTTTATTTTCTTTTGATTTCCATTTTTTTTTATAACAAGTCAGCTATAATTCTTATTTTTGCTCCTTTGAAAGCAAAGTGCCTTTTATCTTGGTTGCTTTTAAGCTATTTCTTTTATCTTTAGTTTTTGGAGTTTGTGTATGATATGCCTAGCTGTGGTATATTTTGTATTCATATTGTTCATGGTTTCCTGAACTTTTTTGTTTTGTGGGTTCATGTATTTCAACAAATTAGGAAAATTTTCTTCAATTATCTTTAAAAATATTCCTTCCTCCCAATTCTCATTCAACTCAGCTTTTGAAACTCTGATTACACATGCATTGGTCTATTTAGTATTGTCGTAAAGATTTTCATTGCTATGTTCTTTTCAATTTTTTTCTATCTGTATTTTAGTATGGATAATTTCTATGATCTGTTTTGCTTTCAATGACCCTTTCTCTGGCTGTGCCCAGTCTGCTATGAAGCCAACCCAATGCATCTTTTATTTCCAATATTATATTTTTCAGTTTTGAATTTTTTAAAAAAATTTTCCTTTAGTTATTTTTATTTTTTATAAGTCTGTTAAAAATTGCCTTCTGTTAGTCAATTTTGTATTTCTTTTTTCTATATTTAAATAAATAATTATAGTAGTTATTTTAAAGTCTTTGTCCACTAATTGCAACATTCAGCTGACATGTAATTCTGCTCTTGTTGAATATTTTTCTTCTTGATTATGGATCATATTTTCTTGCCTCTTTGTATTTCTGGTAATTTTTTTTTATGATGCTTGACATTGTGAATATATTGTAGAGACAGTGGATTACGTTATTCTTCTCTACAGAGTGTTGAATTTTGTTTGGGATGCAGTTAACTTACTAGTAGATCACATTGACCTGTTGAGACTTGGATTTAGCCTTTGCTATGATGGGTCTATTTAACTTTTGCTCTTAGCCTGAGGGCTTAGTCCTTACTCCTAGGGTATGGATTTCAGGGGTCTCACCTTAATGCCTGGTTTACTCACCAAAGCCTCTCCACTCCCACCAGGGCAGAATTCTAGTATTTCCCTAGTACTCTTCATCCTCTGTGATCTCTGTTCAGGTCTTAGTCTCCCAACAGCTGTCGCCTCCTAGACCTTTCTTTATTCCTCTAGTAGAGACTGCTGCCATTTGAGTGGACTCCACTTCACTATGCTTGGTTTGGAAATTGCCCTTAGTATGAAAGTTAGGATGAATGTGGTAGTAGCCATTTCATTTTCTTGCTGTCTCTCAAGAATTTCATCCCTGTTCTGTCTGCTTCCCAAAGCTTGCAAATAGTCATTTTGTATATTTTTTCCAGTCTTATAGTTGTTTAGGTCAGAAGGTAAGTCTGAAACTAACTCCCCTTTATACCTGAAATCAGAAGTCTGATTGCTTACTATTAATTACTTGTTCTTTGCATTTGAGCCAAGCTGAAGGTCCTATGACCTCATGGACTAGGAGAGATTTGAAACCTGGAGAGTTAAATGAGATATGTGATCTTGGGCTAGTGGCTTTATTTCTTTGGATCTCCTTAGTGTCTTTGTCTGAAAGGTGAGGGTAAATATTAGTTTCGTGGATTTATAAGATGCTAGCTTTGGAATCAATTGGGAAGATTAAAAATATTACAGCTACCATATTCATATCCATAGAGATTCTGATTCAGGAGGTCTGAGTGGAGCCCTGAATTTCTGTTTAATAAACAGTCTAGGTATTTGTGGTGCTCAGCTATGTTTGGAAATACTGGATTTGATAATTTTCTGAGTCTTTTCAGGTCTAAAATACTATGAGTATGTGGTCTTGATGTTACAGAAAGTAAGTAAAGGTCTGAGAGATTGAGACATAGGATAGATATTTTTTGCAAGGTGAGGTTGGCATTGCAGAGTAGAAGACAGAAAAACACAAAAGCAAACCAAAGAGGAAGAACAAATTTCAATGTGTCCTTGCAGTGGGAATCTGATCTGCTAGGATTCAATATGAGAGCACTGAGAAGCTAGAAAGTCAGTAGAGAGAAGTGCTCTAAGAAAAGTGGGTGGAAGGCAGGGACAGTAAAGGGAATTTTAGTTAGTTAATAATTTAGAGAAAGGTTGTTCTTGGCACAGGTTGAGATCAGTTACCTGATAGGGGTTCTTTGTTCCCATTAAACTTACTCTACATGAGAATACAGGGGAAGGGAATCAGAGACGTCTCCTTTCTTGTCTGAGCTGGAAGTAGAGCAATTATTTCCTGGAATGAACTAGAATATGAATAAAGTATTGAATGTCCTATCCTAAATTATAATAGATGACCCTTTGTGTTGACATTTCCTTGATCTAATCACTTCTTTTTATTAGAGTCTTTGCATGTTCGTTTGTTACTTTACAAGAGATTGTCAGAGCCAAAAGGCAGAATACTGATTATGGATTTCAGTGGCTCTCATTAGGAGGAAGTTTAGTCTGGTGATTATGATTCAGGGGCCTGGAGTGAGAAAGACCTAGGCCTGTAGGCTCTGAAACATACTGTCTGTGTGAGAAACTTGCCTTTAAATGGATGCCATTATTGTGAGGAATAAATAAGGATATATTTGTGTAGTGCTTTGGATCTTGGCAGCAATAAGTCAGTATAAGGGATCTGTGTCAGGTACCTTATTGGGTATTCAAGAAATGGTAATGATAATTTTTTTTTCACAATGATTTTTCTCTTAATATTACTGGATGAATGTTTTTGAAAGAATTATCTCTAAAAACCAAACCAAGCAATACCAAAGGCATAAACAAACGTTTATTCTTTCTTTGGGAAAGTAATCTCTGAGGAAATGGTCTCGAGGGAGACTGTGTTTTAATAATCAGGCTGCTGAGATCCGTAATCCAAATAAAACACTTTATTCTCCTGTTATCCAGTGGTCAGGAAAAAGAACTCTCTCCTTCCTGTTAGCTGGAGGTGCTTTTGGGCAAATCAACAATTGGAAATCACGTTCTTCTTTGCAGAAGGAGTTACAAGATAAGTTAGAGGTTCTGATCCTTTGATTCTGACTGGGAGAAGAGAGTTCTGAGCTCAAAGCTGTGTTCTCTATTCACTACGGTCACTTTCCCTCCCAGGAAAATTGTGGACAAGAGTCAGTAGACTGTAGCATTACGGCTCTAAGCTGAAGGAAGGTGAGTGCCTGCCTGACCCTGGTCAGTCATGCAACTTTGTTGTTACAAGTGCAAACCATGCGAGTCAGAATGCCTAAGTTCACCTTCTGGCTGCAACTCAGTAGTTTTGGGACTTTGGGCTAGTTTCTTCACTAAATTCATGCAAAATGTGATAATGAAACTATTGTCACATAGTTCTTGTACACAGCGTCTCATAGTAACCACATAAATAAGTGTTACTTAAAAGAATTATCATTTAACCTAAAGCCACTTGAGCTAAAAGATCTTAGAAAAATGTGACCTCACCTTGTTGATCTGACAGCAGTGACCCAGAGGTGGAGTTCTAAGCAGAGTTTCAGTGGCTTCTGCCAGTCAGGACTCTCTCCAGGAATGAGGCCCAGATTTCAGCCAGTGAATCTAGGCAAGAGAGAGAAGGACATAGAAAATGTACTGACTTAAAAATTTAAAGACATCTATCTTATTTTTGTATCCCTTTCTCTAGAAGCACCAGTTGTCATGCTGGAGGCAGGGTTTAGCCTCATATTGTTCTCTGGGAGTGAAAGTCACTTGGGCTGTGAAGATAAATCCATAGCAAACAGCAACAACCTTCTTATATCAAAGTTCACATCTCTCTGTGTGGATTTCATTGTCAAAAATTGGGGGTGGATACTGGGATGGTGGTGTTGTGTTTCTTTCTTTCTAAGTCTTTCTCCTCTCTTATCCCCACAGACTGCCCCTCCTGTATTCGTCTCTAGAGGAGAATGGCAGCCGAGAACTCTTCTGTGACAGCGTTTATCCTTGAAGGCTTAACAGACCAGCCAGGACTCCAGATACCTCTCTTCTTCTTGTTTCTAGGTTTCTACACCATCACCGTGGTGGGGAACCTGGCCTTGGTAACTTTGATTGGGTTGAACTCTCACCTGCACACCCCCATGTACTTTTTCCTCTTCAACCTCTCCTTAATAGATTTCTGTTACTCCACCACCATCACCCCCAAAATGCTGAAGAGTTTTGTCTCAAAGCGGAACATTATCTTACATGCAGGGTGTATGACTCAACTCTTTTTCTTCTGTTTCCTTGTCATCTCTGAGTCCTTCATCCTGTCAGCGATGGCATATGACCGCTATGTTGCCATCTGTAAACCATTGGTGTACACAGTCACCATGTCTCCTGAGGTCTGTTTACTCTTCTTGGTGGGTGTGTATGTGATGGGGTTTTCAGGGGCCATGGCCCATATGGGAAACATAGCAAGTCTGACCTTCTGTGCCAACAACATTGTCAATCATTTCATGTGTGACATCCTTCCTCTCCTTGAGCTCTCCTGCAACAGCACTTATGTGAACGAGCTGGTGGTCTTCATATTTGTGGCTATTGACATTGGAATGCCCATTGTCACCATCTTTATCTCTTATGCTCTAATCCTCTTGAGCATTCTCCACATTCCCTCCACTGAGGGCAGGGCTAAAGCTTTCAGTACATGTGGCTCCCACATAATAGTGGTTTCTCTTTTCTTTGGTTCTGGGGCTTTTGTGTATCTCAAACCACCTTCCATTTTGCCACTTGACCAAGGGAAAGTGTCCTCCCTGTTCTATACCATTGTGGTGCCCATGTTAAACCCATTGATCTATAGTTTGAGGAATAAGGATGTCAAAGTTGCCTTTAGGAAAACATTGGTAAGAAAAATATTTTCTTGAGAAAGGAATAATATTTGAGGAAGAAGATGTAATGCTTTGTTTATTAGTGTGTGTGTTTTCAATGAGGGATCCAAGTTTCCGTTTTTTTCTCTCCTGTATGGAAAGAGAATTTTAAGTCTTTATGTTTGGATTATAGTCTAGTGCAGGTCTATTTTCCCTGTCTCTCGACCCACCTTGACTATTCTAAGATAATTTATGCAAATTTTTTATACAATCATTGGTCATTTAATCTTGAATGGGCCTTATAAATCATTTTATCTAACTTCCTCATGTAACAGACACTGGAGACTTAAAAATATTGTATATGTTTTCCAGGCCACATGAGTCCCTGGTGCCACAACTGGGACTGGAATCCAGGCCCTTGAATTCCAATCCACTTTGCTTTCCTTTATGCCATGTTTTCTTGCCTCATTGCTGCCCTGGCAGATTTCATTTTGAAAGTATGGTATCTTAGCATATTAAAATCTGATTCTATTCATAGTCATTTAATGTAACTTCTCAATTAATAATTTTTTCTTTTTTTGTGAGGAAGATCAGCCAAGAGCTAACATCCATGCCAATCCTCCTCTCTTTGCTGAGGAAGACTGGCCCTGGGCTAACATCTGTGCTGATCTTTCTCCACTTTATATGGGATGCCGCCACAGCATGGCCTGACAAGCGGTGCATTGGTGCGCGCCTGGGATCGGAACCTGGGCTGCCAGCAGTGGAGCGCATGCACTTAACCGCTACACCATGTGGCTGGCCCCTCAATTAATAATTTTTGAATATTACATTTTTTTTCAAGAGAATAGGAGGTGAAAAATTTCCTTAAGTTGGTCTTGGCCAAATGAGAAGAGAGGTGTGTTAAGATTGTGGGGTGTGGGTGGCAAGTATGTAGGTTCCAAGAGCAGGCAAAGCATGGTACTTCCTGAGGTCATGTGTGGAACCCGAGGGACCCAGCCTAGTGTATTAGGACTTCTGTAGGTTTAAAGATTATAAAGGTGCTAAGTGGAAAATTTCATTCATTATTTCAAATCTAAGATGGTTAGAATTTATAGCTTTTTCTACAGATTAGTTTGTTTTAGCTATGATGGAGAAATCTGTGGCTCAGGATAATCACCTAAGGGTCTGTAAGTTCTAAAGGAAGAATAAATAATTTGGGCTATCTAGTTAGTTATTAAGGCAGCACTAAGCAGCTGATTATTAGAGGAAGCAATTCATTGAATTTTAAGGAACTGCAGATTGCACTGATCTTCTCATAGAGGTGTATGTGGAAAAGGGATCATTCACCTCAGGTCTGGTTTATAAATCCACAATTAAAAAAAAAGAAAAGAAAAAATAAATCCATAACATTGGGTAGAGAGCAGTAGAGATTACAACAGAACACTTTGATCTCCATGACTTATTAGTAATAAAGAAAAGTTCTTTGGAAAAGCACTATGTTAAGTGTTGGGGAGACACATTGACTTATGAGCTTTTCTTTGGGAAAGTCTCTTCTTTGGGAAAGAGTTAAGTTTAGATGAGTGATTAGTTTTGCCCTTTAGTATGACTCGGACAAAGGGGTGAAGCTATAAAACTGCAAGTGTCGTGGAAGATTTTGCTTTAGTAAGTATGCAATAGAGAAAGAGAACTGAGTCCAGGAGACTGTGGGGTGTGTGTCAGGTGGGTGAGGTGACTAGGCCACATTCAGGAGGTAATAGAGGAAACAGCAATGTTTTAGGCATATAGTAGAGTTGGTTTTGTATCCTGGCTCAGTCATCATTAGTTGTGTGATTTGAGTAAATGACTTAAGGTCTCTAAATATTAATTTCTCTGTTTTTAAAACAGAGACAATGATCTTGACTTTGTGGGGTTTTTGAGAGAATTAAATGCAAAGCACTTAATAAATCTTCCCTCCCTGCTGGAACTCCTTCATCCAGTTTCATCACCTCCTCTAGCATTTGCATGACCTGAGGCAAATCACTTCATCTTCCTGGAACTCTGCTTAGTCATGAGAAAAATGGACTCTTCTCTAACTTTCATTTAAAAGGTGTATTAAATATTATTAAAATATTTTTTGATTAGATAATCCTTGTACATGGTAAAAAATTTAACAATATGAGTGGAGATTATACAGTAAAAACATGTCTTCTTCCCATCTAGGCATTCCATTCCTGAGTTCTCCTCCTTAGAAGCAACAATTGTTGCTAATTCCTTATGAATTCTCTTATATTCAAACATATATGTCTCTTTATATATTTATATGTATATATATGTCTAGTGCCTCTTCTTGTTTTAAAGTAGTATATAAGGGTATTTAAGAATGATTTTTTCAATGCAAACAGCTTAGAAGTGAATAGGAGAGAGAACTTTTCAGAGGAAAAAGAAGAGGAGTTAATCACAGAAGAGGCATGGAAGAGGATATGGGTGAGAAGGGGAGGGAGAGCAGAGGCCTCCTTGGTCCTCGATGGGTCACTATCCATCCAAACCCTGTAGCCACAGACTAACATTTTGGTCTTCTGATCTTCTGTCCTCACTCTGTGGTTGCACACCTCCATCTCTGGTTGATGCGGTGATGAGGTCAGAGCCCTTGAGAGCTGAGAATGTCAGGATGGCAAGTATTTTTAATCCAGGACACAATTCTAAACATGTTTATTTATCTATTTTAATAAATGAGGCACATGGTTTTTCTTCTTATGATTCTGGAATCAACTTCTATTTATTGTTGCAAATTTGGAATATAAAAAATATATGAAGAAAAAAGATTACCTATACTTTAGTGGGGTAGTTTGCATTATTGGTCAAAATTTGTCACTCACCTAGTGGTATTATGCATCTATGCCCTTGCCATGGTCTCATAGAAGTAGGGTATATTTTCCTGCTCCCTTGATGGTCTGTTGGCCATTTGTTCCATTTTGACCTGTAGGATATTAGCAGATAAGATATAAGCAGGTGTATGGGGTGTGTTTACATGGTGGGGCTTGCCTTCTTGTGCTTCCGCTATTGCCCTGAGAAGAGCTTGTGCTCGGTAACTGCTGCTGCTTCTAACTGATTGTCATGATGAACACACGTGGAACAGATCTTGAATCAGAGCTGCCCACCTGTGCCCAGACAAGATAAGCCACCACAATCAACTTGTAGACATGTCAGGAATAAATAATTCATTGTTATATGCCATGAGGTTTTGTGAGGGTGTTATACAGCAATAGCTAACTGATACATTCTACCATCAGAGATCAGGAAGGGAGAATCTCATCTGAAGTATAAAATTTTCTTTCAGTTGGATCATACTCTATAGGCCATGCTACAAAATGTTTTTTTAACTTATCGGTATAATCTGAGCTTTCTGCTTGTCATTAATATTTTTTGAATTATACTTTTTCATGAGTTTGATCGTGTAGTTATGTCGTATTTTATTTAAGCATTTCCCTATTGTTGAAAATAAAATTGTGTCAAGTCTCCAGTGTTTTATTATTTATTATAAATAATGCTAATGACTATCACTTTGCATTAAAATTTTTGTCTAGCGTTCTGATTATTTTCTCTGGAGAGATTCCTATTTTATTTTCATTATTTTTTGACTCAAAATATCTCTAATTTTCCCTATGATTTATTCTTATTGGACCTATTTGTTACTTAGAAATGTGTTGTTTAGTCTTCTTTTCTCAGATATATTTTTGCTAAATTGACAGGCGTATCAGAGCTCCAGCCCTCTGCCTTCTCTTTGTTCTTTGGTCATCCTAACTGGGATTAATTCTAACTTCTACACCTCCATATGCCTTTTAATCTTTAGCCTTTCCTTCATAGGTTTCTTCTGTTCCTCTCATTTCTCCTAAAATGATGATGAACTTTGTGACAGAGAAGAATATCATCACCTATGTGACATCAAAGACTCAGCTTTTCCATTCTGCTTGTCATTAGTGAGCACTCCAATTTTGTACCATTGATCTTTGGTCACTATGAGGCCATGACCACTAGGGACTGTTTCCTGCTGATGGATCATAAGCTATTCGGTTTGTTGGTAATATGGTCCATCCAAGGGACACGGACCAGCTGTCCCTTATTAATAACAATAGCATCAAGCTTTACTTGGGTAACGTAGGTCTTCTGCTCCAGGTCTCCTGAATCAGCATTACAGTAGTCCTCCTTCATCCATGGTTTTGCTGTCTATGGTTTCAGTTACCTTCGGTCAACTGTAGTCTGAAAATATTCAGAAATATTTTCAGGAAATTCTGGAAATAAACAATTCATAAGTTTTAAAGTGTGTGCTGTTCTGAATAGGATTATGAAATCTCGTGTTGTCATGCTCCATCCTGCCTGGGACATGCAACATCCCTTTGTCCAGCATATCCACGCTGTATATGCTACCCTTGCCTCCCTCAGTCACTTAGAAGTTGTCTCTGTTATCAGATCAACTATCATGGTATTGCAGTGCTTGTGTTCAAGTAACCCTCATTTTACTTAATAATGGCCCCAAAGCAAAAGAGTCATGATCCTGGTAATTTGGATATGACAAAGAGAAGCCATTAAGTGCATCCTTTAAGTGAAAATGTGCAAGTTCTCAACTTAATAAGGAAAAAAAAGTATGCTGAGGTTGTTAAGCTCTATGGTAACTTTCATTACAGTATATTTTTATAATTGTTCTATTTTATTAGTTATTGTTATTCTTGTTATATTTTGTTATTAGTTGTTAATCTCTTACTGTATCTAATTTATAAATTAAAATTTATCATAGGTATGTATGTATATGATAAAACATAGTATATATAATATTTGGTACTATCTGTGGTTTCAAGGCATCAACTGGGGGTCTTGGATTGTATCCCCCACAGATAAGGGGGACTACTGTGTATCACAAGCAAGTGGATTTGTAGTCATAGGAACTTGCATTGTAGTACCCAGTGTTACCATCTTCATCTTTTGTTTTCATTTTCTTCATCATTCTTCATTTACTTAATGCTGAAGATAAGTCCACAGATACCAGAAATTTCTTTCTTTCTTTCTTTGGATTAGGAACACTCTTCAGATATTCTCCTGGAACTATGCACTAGAGCAAATTACATACAGTGTCCTTC